AGAGAGAGAGAGAGAGAGAGAGAGAGAGTTGAAGTAATTATTAACGGTTGTTTTTAATAGGCGTTAAAGTATTTCCCGAAATATACGGAAGCGGTTAAAGTGTACCCGTATTTCTCGGTTATACATGACATGGATTTGAGTCAATCATTATCACACAAATCATATGAAAAGATTAAAGAATTACGCGATGTGTTTATTAAAGGACTTAAATCTAATAAATATTATGTTTAAAAGTTTACGCAAATTTTTTACTGTATTTAATTTAAAATCTAAATAATTAGTTAGATATATTGTAAATTAATTACTTTTACGATTCATTAAATTAAATTAATTGACAAAAAGTGTATTATAATAGTTAAAACAGTTAAAAATTACTGATTATATAATGTACAGAATCTGTACTACAGATATTATAAATAAATTCTCTTTTGTTTCATTAAAACAATTAATTTAAAGCATATTATAATTTGAATTTGAATTTGAATTTATTGTTGTTTACAGACGCCGTGCACTCAACTAGGTTGATTTTCAGTGCAGACGTCTCAAAAAAATCATTTTTAATTTTAACACATCTTTTTAACAGCACTTAAAAATGTCAAAATCCAATGTCTACTGTATTACAAACATTGTTAAACTACAATATATCATCATGTATATTAACTTTACCCGTGATTCAAATATAAATGTGAGGGCAGTATCAATGATAACAAGGTAAAGGATACTCCCGACCGCGTTGTTTGTATAGTTTTTTATCCACTCTTTATTATATAATTAAATTCAATCTAGCTATTTTTAAAGTTGTAAAACTTGTAAGTTATTGTTTATTGTAATGTTTGTTGTCATTGGCAACATATCACGCGTTTAATTAATTGTATGCAATAACTTAATCAATAAATATATTATTATTTTAATCAACAATAAACAAGTAATACAGTATCGACTATTGGTATACTTTATATGACAAATCAATTTTATTTATTAACATAATTGCAATTGTCTAATTGAAATTGAAATTTTAAAATACATTATCATGAATAAGTTTATCATGGTAATAATACCTCGCATGTAAATAGCGATTATTTAAACATAATATAAGTTTTATGTTTAAACGGACTTCTGTCAAAACAGTATTTTATTGTTACCTTGTTCAATATGGTTTTGTTTTTAATTAATTTTCAATTATTATTTAATAGTGAATTTTTGTTGTTGTTTTAATCAAATATTATTACATGTGTATAATTTTTACAAAATTAAATAACTGTTAAATTATAAATGCAACATAAAATGTAATTAATCTCAAAATATGATCAAACAATTTAACGCCGAGAATGGCATCAAAATTATGGCTGCGGAGACGGAGACCAGCGCCGATCAGTCCATCGCACCCGTAGCTAACTCTAGCCTTACCAAAGCCATGGGCTCTAAGAAATCCAGGTTTTCATTCACTAAAATTATGACAAACGCCGGCTATTATGTGAAGCAATCGCTAGGGCTGTCCACCCGTACCGGCACTGGTGTTAATGATGGTGTGGGCGATGACAGGGTAAAGGGAGCTGTCGTACAACCAGAGCTTCCTATGCCTACACTATCGGCAGAGTCCACACCAATAGCCTCGCCATTAGAGCCGGGCTCTCACCCCTCGGCGCCCATAAACTATCTGAACGTTGATCTGAATGTCGACACATTTAACACAACGGCCACTTTCCCACACATGCCGTACATTACAGTAACCGTATGTGTGGTTGACGTATGGGTGACTTGTGTTCGGTTCACTCGCGTTGACTATCTGGCCGTCATGTGGTTAATGCAAATACTGAGTACTGGTGCCGACGATCCGGACGTTATTGTTAAACAAATGGCCAAAAGTGGTTTCGATGGTTGGGATTACACAAAGTGTTTGAATTACTTTTACAATGCGTTAGAATTTTATAAACAGGTATTTTTGTATTTTTAAATTAGCTACATATTTATTTATTATTAATTATTAATTGATAATAATTTTTCTGTTTTGCGGTGAGACTTTGGCCAACTGTCCGAACCGGGAGACGGCGGCCACCGTTTACCCCCTGTTTGACACAATGCACTCATTTGTACCCTATTTTCTCATGACTACCAAAAAATACACAAAACTCAACGAATTGAAGCGATTGTTTGCTGAAAAATGCGGTGAATATGTGGACACAACCACCGGTATTAATGACGACACTCCCTGTCCAACCCCGCACTCTACTGAGATTATACATGATATAGTTAGCCAGAGCTGTGCCGCACCCAATGACCTTCTGTATAACGCAGTGCCTGCACTTCATAATAGGGATGAACAAGAAAGAGATGTGATAGTTAAGGGGCAATTTTATAATGACGTAGTTATTGAGTCACCTAGATCATTTTCCAACTATTATTCACAGTAAATGTTACTATTTTGGCATTAATCACCTGCCGTATAATATATTATAAATTGAAAGTATATTTATTTACAGTTTGTAGTTAAACCCCTTTTTTTATATTAATGTACATTATATATGAATAATATATTAATAGTACATTAATTACAAAGCAGTGGTTCAATGCTAGATACCAACAGATACCAAAATATCTCTTTGTAGGGGATGAACTATTGAATACAGATATGTCCGTTAATGATCTACCTGTGCCGGATACTGTTGAGCCGACGGTAGCAGCACATCAACCACCGGCTGATAATAGCGAGCAGAACCCAATTGACTACTTGGGACTACCGGTGACGGGCAAAAAGTTTACGGTAAACTCGTGGTCACCGCACTTGCCATACATGACCTCAATTATTAAGGTAAAAGGCGTGTGGTTTAAGACCGGACACATTTGCGCTGCCAACCACTTGGCCCTCAACCTGCTGTTACAATTGGTGAACAAACACCGGCCCACCGGTGGTAGCCCTATGACTGAGACCGAGTGGGCACAAGTATGCACAGGTATGCCTCGTATTAGGCGTCGTTATAAACCCGATGTGGTGTTTGACCCAAAACTGTGCCAACACTATCTGCAAAATACTCTGGATTTATATAAAAAGGTGCTATAAATGCGTTAATAACTTAGTTAATTATTTTGTCAGTTATTATTGCAGGTACTAGAGGTGTGCCGTAACATGGATAGGGCCGGCATAGTGTTCCCCATGTTTTATACGCTACACATATTTAGCTAGGTCACCACACTTGCCATACATGTTTTCAATTATTAAGGTAAAAAGCGTGTGGTTTAGGGCCGGGCATATCTGTGCTGCCAATCACTTGGTTCTCAAACTGGTGGACAAACGCCGGCCCACTGATGGTAGGCATGTCAGTTTACATGTCAACAGTTTACAAATACTATTACTAAAAGCATCTCAATTGATGTTAATCACAGCAATGTCTTTTTAATATTTTCAATTTAATCAAATTTTTCATCAGTGTAAAACTTATTTTATTTGATTAATAATTTCACTTCAGCCTTCTGTGTATTACGCTTAATAAATACATACCTGTAGTATGCATACTAAAGACATTACAAATTGTTAACATTTAATTAACTATAAACTAATTATAATCTAAAATAAATATAAGTTTTATGTTTTAAAGTAGAGCCCCTACTCTAAGCCCTAACCAACTATTTTCTGTGCTCTCAAAAACTCATTCTTTCCATCAGTTTTTCATTCATACAGTTTTATACAAGTTTTTACAATAATTGTTAAATGTAACTGGATCAATTACAATTATACTGTGTATACGTAATGAGTGCGAATGAGTGCCACAAATAGGTATTTAAAACTACTACTATATTAGGCTACAGCTGTATAATGAACATGATACTTTTGAGCTAAAATATAAATTTAATGACAAGTAATAGTAATTTATAATAAATAAGAATATTCATGATAATAATTTACAACATTCGTAACATTTTTTGCTCACTTATACGACAAAATCGTGATCAACTTAAATTTATGACTTAATTTTTTTTTAAAATATGCTTATTCATTAGGTTTGTAATGTTTCATTAAACTTCCTATATTTTGTAATAATAATGATTTATATTATTTATATTGTCATTTGAAATTTTTGAAATTTTTATATTTATTTGATTTTAAAAGTACTAAAATATCATTTGCGTACTGTTATATTTTATTAATAGTGTTAGATACTTTTTATTATTAGAATAATTTATTAAACTAAATGAACAAAAGAATGAATTATGATAACATTATAATATTATATTATGTAAGTTTTCAAAAAATCACTTCAAACAACATTTCATAAATCAGGTATAAAGAGTAAATCAAAGTTTAAAATGTGATTGTATTGCATATTAGTTCTTTTCCATTTTAGCAGAATCTGATTTTAGCATATACATATAATATATTTTCTACAGCACACTCAAAATGCCAAATTCGGGGTTATACAATATCATTTATAACTGTTACTGTATTGAAACTTTACTTAAATTTTTATCAAAAGTTAGAAAAATATAATAGCTTTTATTATTTTTTATTGGTTATGATATATTACTCTAATATCATAAATATACAAAAAATATAATTAATTATCAGACTAAACGCGACGAATAAATATTAATTTACATTTTATCACGCTAAGATAGTATATTTACGTCATTTTGTTTCATATTATATCCTCCAATAAGGACACAAGTAAACAGTGTAAAAGCACTACGCCAATGTTAAAACATACAAGATGCTTTCCCCCGAGTAAAATTTACTCTCCCTTTTTTAAAACACCGCAAACTTGTGAGATTCAAGCTCAGGGTATATAAGCCATAACTGTGTGGACATTAATTGCACAGTTATTAGTAAACAGTTCTACTATTAGTTACGTTGTTTTCTAATATAATTTGTATTTAAATGTTTTTATCAGTTTATAACTAATAATTGCTAAATAATTAACATTTATCTGTTAGTGTTTAATAATAATTAATTATTATAAAAATTAGAAAAGTTTGGGTCAGCACAGCATAAGTCTTAATCTTTTTACTGGAGTGCAAATTGCAGCCTGCTGGGCAGCGAGGGGGCTGGAATTGCTTACCGGATAGTCTAGCAAAACTACAGGAGATATTCTACCAAAGTAAGTTTATAGCGTTGCCAGAAAATATTTTGAATATGCTGTATAATTACAAAAATTTAACTAAAAATTCCTGTATTTCATTGTTTCTCAATCAAAACTTTAAATTCATAAAGTGCCTAAAAATTATACTTTTGCAAAAATTTGAGTCCTTATACAATGTCTTTATAATTGAAATAATTAAGTTTAAATACATTTTACTCCTAATTTTAGTTCATGTTGTAAAGGAACAGTGAGTGTACAGGACTAATATTATTAACAAATCTGAATATTTTAATGTTGTAATTGTTTATTACTAAAATATTTATTCCTCTATTTTTTAATGTACAGGAAAGACAACTTCCTGTACTTTGCAATATTCCTTAATTCATGTATATCTGGCAACGCTATATGTTCACGAACCTAGTCTAACAGTATAATGTTATATTTATTATATAGTTATATTAAATGTTGTTTTATATAGCCACATCAGCATTCTATTGCAATAGTATAAACACAAACAATTTGTTCTAAATAGAAAAACTTTTTATTCGCATAATTTTTTAGAAATTAATAATTATGATGACATTTCCGTTAAATATCGCGATTCCGGTTGAAATTCAGATTCCCGGCGCTGACACTCATCTCTACAGAATTGGTTTATCATTATTTAAACCACAATCGGAAGGGTTTGTGAGACATCCTATATTTAATCCCATTTTAGTTGGAATATGCTTGTTAATTTACACAATAAAGTCATTATGGTTAATATATTTATATTTTAACAACGATGGCATAAATACCATGTACGATATCTATCTTGGTAGTTTGGATTATGTATTATTCACTCAATATATTGCAAATATTGTTGTGGCACTATTGGGTGTATTTGCAATGTTATCTCAAGGAATTAATTATTTAAATTATATAAATGACATAAAACCTGTAGATTTGCAAATATTTCAAATGATAGCCGGTTTAGTAAGTTCTAAAAAGTGCGGTATTTTTGACAGACAAGCAATCATCAAAATTTGTAAATTGTATAGGTTGCTATTTTTCTTTGCTAAACATACATCCATGTTGTTTTTATTGGTAGCAATATCTCATTCGTCATTATTGTATTTTTATTATTTTACACTATATCAATTTATTTTCTACGGAATTTTTAATGCCATTTCTATTTCATTTTTTACGTATTATGTATTTAACATTGTTTGTTTTCAAACAATGTATTACGTAATTATCGTTTACTCGCAAATTCTTAAAATTCGGCATGCTAATAAAGTTATAGCAAAAAAAATTTCTAAAATTAAAATAATTGACCAAAATGTTAATTATTTTATTATGGAAAATATTCGTCAATTATATAATATTTATAACGAAATATCACTTTGTAATCGCATTTATTGGACAAAATATCTAGCCATTTTATGGCTTACTTTGAGCGCATTAATCTGTAACGTAGTTTATTTAATAATTTATTCAGGCGGCAGTAGGATTATAAAATCATCACTTGCTTTGTTGTTATCATCTCATATATTATGTTTATGGTTTATTATCAATATTTCCTCTGAGCTCAATAAAGAGGCGGACAAAACATATACTTTAATTAACTCATTAAATAGTCAGAAATATAAATTTAAACTTGGTTGTATTTGTGACAAAAATATGAATCAAATTAACATGGATATTAGTTTTAAATTTAAGGTTGGTCGCGCTCTCTCTCTCTCTCTCTCTCTCTCTCTCTCTTATGAAAATAACTTATATTTTAATAATAGTTACTAAATCTGATTGAGAGAACCGGTTCTCATAAAATTGGTTATTATTGCGGACATCTGTTTATTATTAATCGTTTCTGTGGTTTAGAAGTACAGTATATGTTAATTACCATTATTGATAGATAATTAATTAATATGCATTTCAAGTTATAATCATTTTAATCAATGCTTTAATTTTTTAATTTATCTATTTAGGTTATATCTTATGGATTAATTCTATTTTTGCGCATTGTATTAAATCTGCAAGTTAATCAATCTAGTGCATGATGTCTGAAAAGGTAGGCTTTGCCTATATGCTCCCATAGACAATACATTACAGTTTTGCTCAATTTCTGCTCATTTAGACGTTCTGATACAGTGTATCCACAAACGTATTGCAATAATTATAAATAATCCATTAAAATTGATGCAGTTTAAGTATGATATTATTTGATATCAATCCAGTTCAAGAAAAATATTATATTTTATATTATAATTACTATATTCTTATAATTATATGCAAAGCTTACAATACAAAAACATACATAATATACCAATTAATAGTGTTATTTGGTATTATTACTAAGGCATGCAAAAGACATTTTAATATATATTGCAATATCATATCATTTATGTGTTTTCATTACAAAAGCATTGCTCTGTAAACACATTGTAAACATATTATACTTTAATATATATTTTTTTCCACCAAAGTCTCACCTTTTTGCATGCCGGAATTATTACAAACACCTATACAGTAGACATTCGATTTTGACAGCCGCTACTTTAACAGAATTCGGTTTTATCATGTATTTTTAGCACATATGAGCAATATTAGTATTGTTAAAATACCTAATTTTGACACATATTTTTAGCAGCACCGAGAAATTGTCAAAATCAAATGTCTACTGCATATCTAATTTCAAACATTTATAGCAATTATAATCAATGTAGCCAAATGAATGTATCTAAACTTTAGATTCTAAAGTATATATTTAAGGCTCACATGCATATCGCCATATATGTAATTGTATTCAGTTATGTGTTTTAAGTCACAATAAAATGCAATTGTTTTTGTGTGTCTAAACGTATGGACATGAATACCCGCCGTTAGCCACGCAGCGCCCGATCCGTATATTACCCTATTATCATACACTGATAGTCTGACCAGATGTCCGAAGTCAACAAAATAGTATACGTTAAAGTTGGCTTGGCCAAAATGAGAACGCGTTCTCTTTTTTTTTAGAGTGACCAGATAATTCCCTCAAAAAATCACATAAATTTGTATATTAATAATTTAATAGAAAAACAAATTGTTTAGCAAATAATAACATTTTTAAGGTTACCGGAAAACAATT